ATCTCTTGACCTCATGATCCACCCGCCTCGGCCTCCCAAAGTGCTAGGATTACAGGCTTGAGCCACTGCGCCCGGCCAAAAAAATTTTTTTTAATAAGCAACTTTTATGTGATAACTGCGTTGAATGCTTTCATGATTTTGCTTTTAATAACATATATATATTTCCATCTTCATCTTGGGGAACTAAATCAAGCACAGGCAGAATCCTTTGAGCACTGATTTCCCCTCACAAGGCCAGTTATAGTAGGCATCCAGTGGCTCTTACCTGCTCTAGATGTTTGTTCTGTATTCAAGTGATGGGAATCACTTCCCGTCAGACGGTGCTTGTCCATCCAAGCAATAGCCAGTGCTTGCACAGCAGCTAGACTTTAGGGACTGAAACAGTTTTGTGGACTGAGTAAATGAATACATTCCTTTCATGAATTCTAGTTATCACCTGACATCACTTAAACATATTGCCAGACCAATAGGTAAAATTTTCACGTAGAGTGCGTTGGTGTAATTAACAGGAGCAAGTAAATATGCTTCATTTGTATTTGTGTAGTAACAGGCTCATTTGGTCATTGTTTTATTTTAAAATCGTGTAGTAGTAATATAACTGCAGTCTTTGCCTTATATCCATTTATGGTTTTTAACTTGGATTGTTTGCTTTAAGACTTTATATCATTAAGTTACTCAACGTTATTAGTAGAGTTTTGCATGGGCTTAGTTGATAAAGGAGTGAAATATGTCATTTTAGCTCTAAGGCTTTGATGTTTAAGAAATAGTTTTGGAGTTTATTAATTTATGTTGGACAATGACATCTACTGGCTGAGGCATAACGTAGCTCAGCTTTATTAAAGACTGTGAAAACCACACCTTGAAAAGAAAGTAAATGAGATCCCAATGCTATGACCTGTGTGTGAAAACAGATATCTTCAAACTAGCCAATTCTCTCTCTCTCTTTTTTTTTTTTTTTTTTTTTTTGATGAGACAGAGTTTCGCTCTTGTCTCCCAGGCTGGAGTGCAGTGGCACTATCTCAGCTCACTGCAACCTCCACCTCCTGGGTTCAAGCGATTCTCCTGGCTCAGCCTCCCGAGTAGCTGGGGTTACAGGCATCCGCCACCACGCCTGGCTAATTTTTTGTATTTTTAGTAGAGATAGGGTTTCATCATGTTGGCCAGGCTGGTCTCAAACTCCTGACCTCAGGTCATCCACCTGCCTCAGCCTCCCAAAGTGCTGGGATTACAGGTATGAGCCACCATGCCTGGCCCAAACTAGCCAATTCTCAAGGACCAGAGGAAATCCAAGAGCAGAAGGAAAGACCCAGGAATCAAGAGGAAAGGACTTGTGGTGTGCTCGATGGCCATGGGCTATGATCTCACCTTCTGTTATTTTAGATTTCAAAGTTAAAATATTTTAGACGGTACTTTTCCATTTATTATAAAATTATATTTCCAGTAAAAAGTAGTATTTGCTTTACAGAAGTTTATTAACCAGTTTTGTTTGATCTGATCTGTTCAAATAGTGAAGGTAACTCTTACTGCTTTTGAGTCTAATCATCTCATAAGGGACATGTTTAGAGGTTTATTACTGACATCAGATAGCAAGATTTATGAATATATTTACTTGTCTATTGTGAGAGTACAGGTAGTTGATGACATTTAACATTTATTGAGTTTTTACTGTGTGCTAGACATCGATTTAAGAACTTTACAAGTGTTATCTCATTTACATCTCACAATAATCTTATAGGCATTACAGTTTTTCTAATAAGAAAGAGGAGGTCAAGAGAAGTTAATTTGCCCAAGGTTACTCAGCTAATAAGTGTTAAAGCTTGCATATAGGTCTAGAAAGTACATTCATAGGAAAAGATCATCTCAAAAGGAAACATACCCCAAGTCAAAAGGGGAGCATCTGATATCTTCAACCATTTTCATAGTCAAATATTAGGTCTTTTTCTTTAATTTTTTTTTCTATTTTCACTGGTTATAGTATTTCATCTGCCTTTAACTTTTTCTGTTTTTGCTTTTACATGGAAGTTGTATGCTTTTAGCAATATTTTTATTTTCAATAAACTATACATATTTATATATTTGAGGGATTCTCTACTTTAAAATTTTTATTTTTTAAAAAAGTAAATACTTTTCATAAGTAATTTTAAAGTACATAAATCTCAATAAATTTTTGCATATGTATACACCCCTATAGCCACCACCTAGAGTAAGATACAGAAAATTTTTAGCACCCTACAAGGCTCCCTCCCTGTCAGTACCCCTACCATCACTTAGACCCTCAGCCTGTGTAACCACTTTCCTGACTTCTGTTTCCGTTTGTGACTTTTACCTGTTTGAGGACTTCCTATAAATGCAGTTGAACACTGTGCACTCTTGCTTTGAATATTTTCACTCAGCCTTTTGTCTATTAAACATCCAGGTAGTTGTATATATCAGTACTTTGTTCTTTTTTAATGCTGTGTATTATTCCAAGCTGTGCATATACCACAGTTTATCTGTTTCTACTATTCATGGCTATTTGGTGTTTTCAGCTTTTGACTACCACAAATCAAGCTGCTGTGAACATTGTTGTACATGTCTTTTAGTAGACATAAGCACTCATTTCTGTTAGGTGTATACCTGGGAGTGAAATTGTTATGTCATAGAATATATGTATGTTTAGCTTTGGTAGGTGCTACCTATAGCAGTAAATTTTCCAAATTTATTTTGTATACTGATAACCCGTGATTTACTAGAATATTCTCATTTCTGTTAATAGTATTTTAAAAAACATTTGGGAAGGGGATCTAATTAGAGAAATAGAACTTAGATTGTTATACCAATCTACAGGTAGTGCTATGTAGAAGACTTTGTTGTTTTTTACTTATTACTTTGTTAATACCAGATTTCTACCTTGTACATAGACTAATACTAGACCCGGTAAGATAAAATAATGAAATACAGCCCTGCTTAAAGAAACTTACGGTTTAGTCAGAAAGACAGGAGGATGAAAGATAAGCAATATAAGGCAATGTGTCAGTGGCATATGATTCATATAGACAATATGTGCTCTGGGGTGGGGAAGAGTAGTCACCAGACTAGAATGATTGGATTGGGAAAGGCTTCATGGAAAAAGAAAACTTTCAGATGAGCCTTGGTGAGTGCGTAGAATTGGATTAGAAGGAATGGTTCATCATGAACAATGTTATTGAAAGGTAAGAAAAGCTTGCTGGGTAACTAAATTGACCTGGCTGAAATGAACAGTTTGAGTTGGGGGCGATGGGACAATAGTTGGAAAAGTAGGTTATGGTCAAGCTTTGGGAAACTTTAAATGCCAGGTTAAGATTTTGTTTGGTTGATTGGTTTTGTTTTGTTTTTAAGGGCCCAAAGCATCAGAATTGTACAAACTATTTTCTTTCCTATTCTGTTTTCCCTTGAGAACATGAACTGACAAGGAATAAGGTGAAGGAATTTGATTGGACTTTAAGGATAACATAACACCCTTAAAAGAAGTGTTAAAATTGAAGGAGGGATTTTACAAATGGCAAGTAGCATAAAAAAAATGGGACTAAAGAATTAGTATAGATGATTTTTGACTGGGGAAACTTAAACACTAGTTACTTTCCAAAAGAATTTGAGGTGATTTTCTTTAGTGAGGGTGACAGTGGTAAAGCCCTTCTATGAAGTATGTGATGAATTAAACTACTTCAGAGCATGTTTTCTTCTCTTAAAATCTTACGGTAAGCATTTTTGAAGAATCATGTTTCAAGAACTTTTTTTTTCTTCCACATTAGCATCTTCAGATAATAAGAAACAGATACCTAATGAAGCTCCTGCTAGAAGTGAAAGAGACACATCAGACCTAGAACAAAATTGGTCATTGCAAGATCATTATAGAATGTATTCACCCATAATATACCAAGCCCTCTATGAGCATGTGCAGACTCAGATGTCACTGATGAATGACTTAACTTCAAAGAACATCCCTAATGGAATCCCTCCTATACCATGCCATGCTGTGTCTCATACTGGTTAGTATGAATACTGTTTAAAAGTCATGAATGCATGTTCTAATTAAATTGCTTTGTTATTGTATAAAAAGTAGGATATGTGATTAATTTTTTCTCCCTCTTACTTATAGAATCTCAGGCAACTCCTCATTCTAGTTATGGCTTATGTACCTCCACCCCAGTCTGGTCACCTCAGCGGCCACCCTGCCCTCCAAAGGTTCATTCTGTGTGTACAGTTTGTATACTACATAAGTAACTATTTGCTTATAGCAGTCATTTAGGAAGGACTGTTGAATTTATTGATTGTAACTTAATGCACTAGGACTTAAAGACCAGTTGTTTATTTTTTAATATTTTATAGTTTTACCTATTTATTAATGACAGTAATGAAGGAGAAAGAGGGGAAGAGATCAGTAGGGGGAAAGCAAAATCAACCATACTGACCACCCAAGTACAACTGCCGTTAACACACTGATAGAGTTCTTTCCAGTTGTTTAATCCTTTGTACAGGTTTTAGTTTCTGGTTTGTATTTGTTAAGTTTGGTTTCCTTTTAAAATAAAGTTATAAGTAAACTTTATGCAGTTTTCTATACCGATTCTTTCGCTTAATACTTTATTTGAAAGATGTTTATTAATATATACCCTTTGTGAATTTTTAATAACTTGTTACTACTGTATTTTGTGGATATAGCATAGCCTGTGTAACTACTATATGGTTAGGAGTGTAACCATATATTTGAGTTTGTTATTATTATTAATAAGCAAGTTTCTAATATTAGAAACTTACTAATATTTTTAGCTTAAAAGTAAGTTGAATTTTTCCTCAGTACAATAAAGATTCTTGGTTTCTGAAGCTTAGTTTACCCTGTAAGATGGGAGCATTACAAGGCCATGACTAAAATAGACTGTTTACAAATACCACAGATGGTTTAAAAGCATCAAAAGTTAGTCCACTTTGGGAAATTACAGCATAAGAAAATAAGTTCAAACATACAAAAAGCTTTTGCACAAGCATATTTACAGAAATATTTCAGCAGTGAAAAACTGGCTGTTACTTAAATGTGTAACCATATAGGAGTATGGTTGCACAGACTATGGTATAACCACAAAGTATAGTAGTAACTATTAAATATTCACAAAGTGAATATATTAATAAATATTTTAATAAATATATTTTATATATTTGAGTTTGTTATAATTAATACCTGTAAGTGACTGCTCATACTTCTGAAGACTTGCTTTTCTTTTTCTTTAGGAAGTTGAAACTCTTGTGACAGTCAGCTTGCATCACAAGGTAAAACAGTTTCTGCAACCTGTACTGATGTTCTACAGAATTCATTTAACACCAGCCCTGGAGTTCCACGTAGCCTGCCCAAAACTGACATATCAGCTATTCCAACCTTGCAGCAACTGCGACTTGTTAGTGGGATTCCGCCACAACAAGGAGTTCATAAGGAAACAGACCTACTCAAATGTTTTCAAACATATATGTCTCCTTTTCGATCTCATGGAAAAGAAACACATCTGGACAGTCAGACACACCGAAGCCCTCCTCGATCACAGCCAGCTTTCTTGGCCACTAATGAAGAAAACTGTGCCAGAGAGCAAATTGGAGAGGCCAGAAGTGAAAGAAAGGATTTAAACCTACGCGTGCGAGATACAAAAACAGTCAAAGATGTACAGAAGGCAAAAAATGTGAACAAGATAGCTGAAAAAGTTAGAGTTATAAAATATTTGCTGGGAGAGCTCAAGGCCCTGGTAGCAGAAAAAGGTAGATGAGACTTACAATTTTCTGTAGTGTGGTGTTATACTAAATACCAGTGTCACATTATTTAGCTGTAATTTAAATGGAGTTTGTGGTATTTTCCATAGAACTGTGTTTTGAACTAATAAGAAAATCAGTTCTGCTTATTGTATTCTTACTTTTTAGGTTTTGATTTTTTTTCCTGTGGATTTAAAATGTTAGAGAATATCAAACATTCAGTCTTTTACTTGCAAGTGTGTATTTATTCTTCTTGATAATAGAGCTTGAAAAGATTCGACCAAGGAGAATTTGTGCAGATAAAGATTTTAATTAGATTAGAGGACCCCTGAAGATAATTAACTGCCTGAGTAGACTGATTATTTTTCCTGTTTTAAAAAGATGCAAAGTATGCCTGCATGTCATTTTTTAGATAGGCAACTGTTAGGTTGTTTAACAAATCTCACTTTGAGGAGTAACCCAAACCTTCTTATGCGCTTTTCAGTTTATTTTTAGAACTTTTTTCCTAAATCAAGAAAAATGTCTTTGAGCCAGATTATATTCATTTGTTTTTATTCTGTATATGTATTCTATTGTAGTGGCTTTTGCTTGGAATGATTTATAGATTTGTCATCTTGGGAAACACAGTAATTGATTGTGGAAGCATTGATTGAATACCTAACATTTGCAGAGTGACCAAAAAAAGAAAAATCTTAAAATGCTATATGAATGTAGCACCATTAGACCAAAGACATAGTGTATTAAAATTGCTGTGTTTTCAGACCTTCAACTTACCACCATTTTCACAATCAGATACATAATCATGGTAATAATAATAATACCATTGGCTATCATTTATTGAACACTTACCATGTGCTCAGCACTGTGCTAAGTGTTTTATATGCATTATCTCATTTAATCCTCCCAGCAACCCTATGTGGTACTATTACCAGTACCATTTTACTGATGAGGAAACTGAGACCTGGAGAAACAGTATCTGACTTAATCTTCTCAACAACCCTGTGAAGTACTGTTTTTATCTCCATTTAACCATGAAGAAACCCAGGTTTCAAGAGTTAAGTATTGAGACGTTGGCCAAAGGATACAAACTTCCAAGTAGGTAGGAGGAATAAGTTAAAGAGATCTACTATATAACATTATAACTATAATTAATAACAATATTGTATTCTTAAAAATTGCTGAGAGTAGATTTTAAGTGTTTTTATTATAAAAATGATAAATATGTGATGGAATACATGTGTTAATTAGCTCCATTTAACCATGACAATGTATAGCTATTTCAAAACAACATATTGTACATGATAAGTATATAAATTTTTTCTTTGTCAATTTAAATAAATTTTTACAAAAAGATTAATTTGTTTAAAAAAAATAAGTTAAATACTTTGACCAAGGTTATATCTCCAGAAAGTGGTGGAGTCCAGGTCCCAAACTCCAAAGCCTGTGAGTGAAACTGCTCTATAAAAGATTGGTAGAAGGCCGAGTGCAGTGGCTCACACCTGTAATCCCAGGATTTTGAGAGACCAAGACAGGAGGATCACCTCAGGTTAGGAGTTTAAGACCAGCCTGGGCAACATGGTGAAACCCCAACTCTACAAAAATACAAAAGTTAGCGGGGCATGATGGCAAGTGCCTGTAATCTCAGCTACTTGGGAGGCTGAGGCAGGAGAATCACTTGAACCTAGAAGGCAGAGGTTGCAGTAAGCCAAGATCACCCTGCTGCACAGCCTGGGTGACAGAGTGAGACTCCGTCTTAAAAAAAAAAAAAAAGAAAGATTGGTAGAAGAAAACTGCTTGATAATTGGACACAGTTGTTTACTATGTGTGTCCTTTTCATCAGGATGTTAAAATATCTGTGAAACTGAATGCCTTTTTGTAACTTAGAAAATACTTTCAACCTCTTTTGGATATTAGATAATTAATAAATAATTTTAAATATTTTCAGCCCACAGTAAATATGAATGGGAATGAAGGGAAAAAGATAAAAGACAAAAGAACGAATACCTGCCTTCTATGCCTGTGTCTGTTTGCAACCTCCAAAAACATCCACTCTCCACCATTAATAACAACCTTTTGATGTCACATCAAATGGATGTGGCTGCTTGTGTTCAATCTACTTTAGAAAATTAAATAATGAAACTATCCTAGCAGACCCTCAGTCAATATTTTGCCAAATTAATCCCCTAACATAAATTGTTTGCTTATGCCAGGATCAAAGGTTGTATTATAAATGTTAATACTATAACAAATTATAGGAAACCCCATAGCAATCATAGCTATCCACTGTGGTCCTGTGTAAGTATAGACTAAGAGATTTGTGTAAGCCACATTCCTACTTGATTCTTGAACTGAAAAAAACAAAAACAGAAAACTTACAATCTTGTGATTTGTGATTAATCTTTAGTTTACTGAACTTAATTTCTTTTTTTTAAATTTTATTTTTTTAATTTTTTTATTGCATTTTAGGTTTTGGGGTACATGTGAAGAACATGCAAGATTGTTGCATAGGTACGCACATGGCAGAGTGATTTGCTGCCTTCCTCCCCTTCACCTATATCTGGCATTTCTCCCCATGCTATTTCTCCCCAACTCCCCACCCCCCACTGTCCCTCCACCATTTCCCCCCAACAGACCCCAGTGTGTAGTGCTCCCCTCCCTGTGTCCATGTTGAACTTAATTTCTTTATAATTTTTCTGAGGAAGGAAATACCACCAAGATGAAAGAGAAAAATGGAGCCTGTATAATAAATTTATAAATAGTTGAGTTGAATTTATAACAAGTATGTACATATCTATAAAGATTTTCTTTTTTAGTAATACATACTAATCTTGTAGAAAAATAATTTATAGTATTGATTTTACTGATTTATTTTGTCTTTTATAGAGGATTCAGAAATTCAGAGGTTGGTTACAGAAATGGAAGCATGTATATCTATACTTCCAGCAGTAAGCGGAAACACAGATATTCAAGTTGAGATAGCACTGGCCATGCAACCATTAAGAAGCGAGAATGCTCAGTTACGAAGGTAAGAATTTCCCTTTGAATGTTTTTGTCTGTGTGCAAACATGCCTCCTGGCCAGAACAAAGGTGCCAAATGACATATCTAGGATTTTGTAAGGAAAATTGATTTTCTGTCTTACTGAATTTCTACTTTTTCTTCCTTATTTTTCAGAGATTTCCAGCATTATCTAACTCTTCCTTTACTTCTGCCCCCTTGTACATATTGTCTCCCACTTTTACCTGTGTTGTCACTTGGTAGTGTGTAGGCAGGAAAATGAAATACCTCTGTTTATTTATCAGACTAGTCTAAGTTATGCTGCAGGAACAAACTTCTAAATTTCGTTTGCATAGCACAGCAAGTTTATTTCTCCCTCACGCCAAGACTAACGTGGGTCATCGGTGGCTCTTTCATCCTATGACTCAGGATCCAGACTCCCTCCATTTTACAAAGCCACTGTCTCAGTATGTGTTGTCCAGGAAAAAGAGAATGCGGATATGGTAATGGGGAAGTCTCACATGCCCCAACCCAGAAGTGACCATTTCGCTACCACTTATATTTTATAGGCTGAAACAAGGCACCTGGCCCTGCCTAATAGAAAGGTCTGGGACGTTGTATTAAAAACACACTGTTTTTCTTCTGCTCTCACACCGCAACAATCGACACAGAACAGTTCTATGACCAAATGTGTGGGAATTTCTCCCCACCAACAAGCAAGCAATCAGTTCTGCAACAGATACCAGTTGGGTGTCCTCCAGTTTAATTCCAACACTATCCACCTGGAAATTATATCAGATCCCACAGGTTGAGGGCTCAGTCCCACAAGACTAAGCTTTATTTCTAATGCCGATCACAAGCCCAGGTTATTTTACCTGTTTGTCTGACCAAATGACTTTAAGTCAAAGTTCCCTTGATCTCCTTCCTTGAGTTCAGTTAATTTGCTAGAGCAGCTCACAGAACTCACGGAAACACTTAGTTTACCACTTTATTATAAAGGATACAGATGAAGAGATGCAAAGGGCAAGGTATTGGAGAAAAGGCGTGGAGCTTCTATGACCCCAGTGGGTGCCCCACCCTCTAGGAAGCTCCATGTGTTTATCTGGAAGCTCTGCATACCCTGTCCTCTGGAGGCTTCATTGGATAGGCATGGTTGAGTCATGGACAACTGTGAAGAAACGTGATTGGAAAAAAGGGTATGATCTAATACTAATAGACAGAGTGGGGAAACCCAAGAAGTTCTGTCTGTTCAAATTCGTTTTGGACCCTCTGTGCCGCATTCCTTCCTCAGTATGAGGCAGGACCCCTTCAGAAATGCGGTTCTTTTGACCTGCAAACAGCCAAGGTAGGTCAGAGAATTTCCTTATGGCCAGTTGTAAGAAAGGTGGGAGAAGATTATATTTTTTGTTTCTATGGCCTACCATGGGGAGGAAAAGGGAGCAGATGAAAGGAGGGCAAGAGAAGTTTAGACAAAGAAATTCTGTTTTCTGAGGCCTGCTTCTGAGACCTAAAGTACCTGAATATTAACAGATGACTGTCTTTCACCTTTATCACTCTGAAGCTGCTTCAGGAACCAGGAACAAAAGGCCAAATACTTAAATAAAAGGGATGTTTTTGCTTTTGACTGCTTAAGAAATAACAAGGGCTGTGGGAGTTGACACCCAGGAACTGTGAATGAAAACATATATATATGTATGTATATGTGTGTATATGTATATGTTTGTATATATGTGCCATAACAGACATACACACAACACACACATTATATATAATATGTATTTATATAAATATATAAAATAATGTCACAGATATATAATTTTTCCATACTTCTATACAGCCAGGAAGGAAAGGAGAACCTTAGTAAGCACTAATGTAGCCCTGCCACACTTAGACATAGAAAAAAAATTATTTAAATTCTTTGATTTTTTTTTTTTCAGTCTTCTTAACTTGTTGGAATTACAATCTTAATTTGTTTAGGAAAGATTTAGACCAGGAATCTAATCTTGAAATATAAAAGAAATCACTCACATATTATCAATAATATCTTAACTTGGAATGTTTCAGTGATGACCATCAAGGCCAACACACCAGTGTCTGTTTATTAATATACTTTACTAAAACTTGGAGTACATATCAGGTGCTTCTGCAGCACAGCAGTGCAAATGTGCCCTGAGTGTTACAGGTGCATAAGCTATAGACATTGTATAAGATAGGACCTGCAAGGATCTATACAAACTTTTAAAGAAACTGGAAAGCAAATAGTTGGAGCATAGCTAGAATATACACATCTGGAGCCTCTAGAGGCATGATAGCTGGTGAGATGCACTCATTTAGGATTCTTTGTCTAGAGGTCCTTATCCTGTAGCTACTATGATATAAGATGGGATTGCTGGGTTTAAAATCCAATATCATCTTCAGTCTCGACCTAAGGAATTACTATACCAGCATTAATTTTTTAACACCAAAAATGAGTAAATAATAAAATAATGAACAGCAAATACTGCTAACATTTATTGAATGTTTTTTATATGCCACACTATTGCCCTTTATATGTGTCATCACTTTATATCTTCACAACAGCTCCATGAGGTAGGTGCTATGTTACTCTTACTTATAGATGAGGAAATCAAGGCACACAGAGTTTATGTAACTTGCCCAAGGTCATATATCTAAGAAGTTACAGAGTCAAGACTAGAACCCAGACAATTTGATTTTAGAGTACAATGATCTTAACTTGCAGACTTCTGTACTGTCTGTGTTAGGAAGTAGAGATTTAATTATACCTCACTATTTAGGTGTATTTTGTGGAACATAGAATATATTGCAAGCCATTCAAAATAAACAAGCATATTATTTAAAGGAATGACAATCAAATAATTGATTTCTTAAATAAACATACCAAAACTTAGCCTGAGAATATTATCTATTTTAACATTGTCACCATGGAAAATATTAGTGGTTCTTATTTATTTCTGTTCCTTAGAACATTTTTAAATTGCCTTAGAAGCTAATTTGTAAGCCATTCAAGAAAATAACGTTTACTGTTTTAAGAGCCACCACTTGTTTCTAGTTTTTTTTAAAGAAGGTATTTGTTTGATGTCTGACCTAATTCTTCAGTTGGCACCAGAGCTATTTGGCTGTCTGTCCTTACAGGACAAAGATTATATAACATGCTCTTGCCACTGTTGCTTACTTGACCTTCTAAAAGATAAAATAACTAAAAAATGAAGAATTTGTTAGATACGTTCTTTTTAGCAGAAAGGTTTTCGGGAGTAGTGTAGGAATTTTTGTTCCACTTTGGTAATCTGTTTGAAAAGAATTATCCATAATCTTCATTACAAATAAAAATTGGAATACATAGGTTTATTCAAAAGTGTTTCTCATCGTTTTCAATTAAAAAAATTTTTTTTTCTTGTTAGATATTTGGAAACTACGTGTTTCTTTTTAGCCAGAAAAGTGATCTTTCAGGACTTTCTTGGAGTTTGTTGCCATCTTGTGGCTTAAAAAATAGCTCGATGCATCGTTTCTGTGACATTTTGACATTTAGGCTAGACAGTTTTAATGTGTCTTCTGACACAGTTATTTAACATTTAGCTTTCCTGGTCCCCACCCACTAAATGTCTATAGTGCCCCATTAATTTTGACCACCAGAAGGCCTGGCACAATCCCAAATTTTCTGGATGGAAGTTTGGTGGGTATTATCTCCAGTTAAGAGCCATTGAGCTAGAGAATGCCAAGATTTCATGACCACCTCCTGATTTTAGACTCAACTATGAGACCATTATGTATCCCCACAGAACATAAAAATGAAACGGGAGAATGGAAGGAGTCAAGGATGATGTTCAGGTTCTGTCTATAATTTAACAAATGGTAACATAATTCTTCCAGATGGGAGCTGCTAGAGGAAGAATAGATTTGTTTATTGCATGTTGTTAATAGTTTTTGAGTTAGGCAAGATAATAGGAGAGCCTGTGAGTTAAGGTTTAGATCTGCTGAGTTAGATGATCAGGAGATAAGTATGATATAAGTCTGGAGTACAGGAACAAGTTGCAAGATAGAAATTAGACTCGGGAGTCATTCTCTGAACATGTGTTTATTGAGCTTTTTGTATAGATCTGGCACTGTTGTAGACACTGGAGACAGTGTGATTGAAAGTAAGTGATTTGTTATCAGCATGTAAGTAAGTGGTATATTCACCAAGAAGGTAGAGCATGTGAACACAGTGAAAGTTAAATTGCTGGGGAGTAACAACTTTTTAAGGAAAGAACAGAAGATTAAAATTAGTGGAGTGACATCACAAAGTCACAGAAAGAAAACAATTTATAGGAGGGATTTTGCATAGCATTAAAATAAACTGACAACATGAACAAAGGTAGGTCGATAATAAATATTACAAGACAAATTACTCAAAGAAGCTTCAGAAAAACTTAAAACAGTGTTCTACAGTCTCAAGGAAATTAAAGATAATAGGATCTCTTATAGGAAGAAAGAGTGAGATTGAGACAAAGTGCTCAAGGAAGAAAAAGTAAAAAGAGAAGAAAAGTGAGTTAAGTGAACTCAGAAAAATAAAAGAAAAAAACATTTTAAAAATGAAAGCCCCATTAGAAACAAATATAAAATAATTAATAAACAAACAGACAAAGTCAAGGATATTGTAGTTCTCTAGAACTTAAGTATTATGAAGCCTGAAGTTTTTTGTTTTTTTTGAGGGGTTTTAGGTTTTTTCCCCCCAAGTCTTTCCATTTTAATTTCTACTAAATTCATAGTTCAGTGTCTCCTATTGGCCTTAGCTGCTGCTTCTTTCTAAACCGTTTTTTAAATTTTATTTATTTTTATTGTAAATATATATATATGATATTTATCTTTTTAACCATTTGCAAGTGTACATTTCAGTGGCAATAATGTTCTGTAACCTTCACCACTTTCTGTAGGAAAACTTTCTCATCCCTAACATGAATTCTGTCCCCATTAAACAGTAACTTTGTCTTCTCCCTTTTCTTACCTTCTGGTAAGTCCTTACTTTTGTTGTT